AAAATTTTTCGAAAAAAAAAAACAATTATTTTTTATGAAATGATAGAGAACCTCTCTCTGATCATAGTGACATCAAAAGTATGAAATTCGATGGAAAATTGACAGAATTATGCTCTTGCGAAATTAACGGTCTCGAAGATATTTACACATCAGCGATTTCCCCCACTTTGAGCCCTATTTTTGGCCAATTCCAATGTTGCAGTTGACTAAAATCATAGCTATTTCCCTAGAACTCCATTTGCTCTATTGATTGAGTACAAGAATCCGCCCATTTACTGATTTCAACAGCCCAATAAAGTGGTCAGAAATTGGCAATTTGGGCAATGCCACACAAATTTCAAAAGATGCCAGTTTCAAAATAGGGTCCAGAATAAACAAGACAGACATTCATGGCACTAAAATAACATTTTATCTGTTCATTAGTCATGTCTCTAGGCCCCTCTTACATTACTTTTGCTTTCCATTTTGAATTTTTATTCTCACAGAAAATAGAAGGTTTTCTGTTATGTATACCACTGCATCATTGTAAAAACAGTATGAATGGTGTCAGCGCACTTGTGAAAGAATATCAGACTCACCAGTTGACGTGTATTGGACGCGTGGCTTGATTTGTTTACTCTTGAACATCGGCAAAAATCCATCATTTTTGCTACTTTGAGCTCAATTTCAAGGTACTTGTCATTGTGAAACCAATCAAAGTCATCTATTTCTGTAATATATATTCCATTCTGTCAAATGAGACAAAGGAAAATGCACTAGACCATACGAAAATGCACTAGAAAGTTGCTGTTTTAAACCAAAAACACGGTCAGTTTTTTCTTTTCATTATGCACAGCGTGCTTCAGGATTTTTTTTATACTGCGCTCACTGACCACACAGAACCATTCTTTCATATGTCGGCCTGCCAGCTTTCTTCCACCAGATTTGAAGGCACTAGAATTTAGGCATACAAGTACGTGACAGACCCTGGCTGCAATGACGTACGTACTTGTACGTGACTGACCCTCAAAGGGTTAAAGAGTAAAGTGTGTTATGTTTATGTCCAGAATTGTGTTATTGTTATGATCATGAAGAAATAATTTCATCATCTCAATTTAATGGACAATCAACATTACTGGAGATCCTTTCCTCTCTCATTAGTGCATTAACCTTTTCACTGTGAGACCCTTGCTCACAAACTTACTCTCAGCATTGAAGAATTTAAAAAAAAAAATCATGAAATGATAGAAAATATTTTCCTGATGGTAATGACACCAAAAGTATGAAATTTGATGGAAAACTTATGGAATTACACTCTCACAAAGTTAGCAGTTTCAGCGATATTTACTCATTGGCAGTTTCGTCCACTTTGAGCACTATTTTCGACCAATTCCATTGTTCCAGTCGACCAAATTCATAGTTATTTTGCAAGAACTCTATTTCTTCTATCAATTGAGTACAATATCCGCTAGGAATTTTTATTGACCTAAGAAAAGCTTTTGATACAGTAGACCACGGCATCCTACTCCACAAACTTGACCATTGTGGTATAAGAGGCCATGTGCTTGCATATTTCAAATCCTACCTTACTAATAGGTATCAGTATGTCACCATTAAAGACACAGCATCATCAACACGGCCACTTGATGCTGAAGTTCCACAGGGAAGTGTCCTTTGTCCCCTGCTCTTCCTCATTTACATCAATGATCTTCAAAACGTATCCCAACACCTGAAACCCATTCTCTTTGCTGACGACACGACTTATGTCATCTCTCACCCTAATCTTGCCACCCTCAACACCATTGTTAATGAAGAGCTGCTCAAAATATCAACTTGGATGACAGCCAATAAACTTACACTTAACACTGACAAAACCTACTATATTATGTTTGGTAGCAGATCAGGTGCTGTGCAACTAAACATTAAGATCGACAACACTCTAATTACCAGACGTAATGAGGGCAAATTCCTAGGCCTATACCTCGACAACAACCTGAATTTCAGCACCCATAACCAACACATATCAAAAAAAGTATCCAAAACAGTTGGGATCTTCTCCAAGATACGATACTACGTGCCGCAAAATGCCCTTCTCACACTATACCATTCACTCATTTATCCATACCTCACCTATGCTATTTGTGCTGGGGATCAACTGCAGCAATACACCTAAAGCCAATAATAACTCAACAAAAAGCTGCAGTAAGAATAATCACTAAATTCCATCCCTGGCAACACCCCCCCCCACTCTTCATAGATCTAAACATACTCCCTGTTCAGAACATCCACACTTACTACTGTGCAATCTACATATACAGGACCTTAAATTCCAATATTAACCTTGACCTAAAATGCTTTTTTGATAGTTGTGACAGGACCCACAAGCATAACACCAGACACAAACATCTCTACGACGTTCCCCGTGTCCAACTAAACCTTTACAAAAATTCAATGTATGTCAAAGGCCCTAAAATCTGGAACACCCTACCTGAAAACTCTAGAACTGCAGACACATTCATCACCTTCAAAACTACTACAGTGGACCCCCGGATAACGATATTATTTCAATACAGAAGTCTGTTTGGGTGCCGTTATAGACCGAATTTGTTCCCATAAGAGATATTGTGAATTAGATTAGTCCGTTTCAGACCCCCAAAAATACACCTACAAAAGCACTTACAAAAATACACTTACATAATTGGTCGAGTTGGGAGCTGATCGTTATGCGGGGGTCCACTGTATTAGAAAACATCTTATCTCCCTGATACACCCTGTCAACTAACTACATAAAAAGCACCTGGTGGTTCACACTTACACTCACTCACTCACTCACCCATTTGACTATAAGCACAGAAATATATATCTTAATCTTAAAATAATGATTACTAACTAGTCACAAGTTTGCCTGTGATACTCCAATAGAGAAACTATAATATTGTGCCATAACAAAAGCATTCACATTGCTAATCTCACAAACTGGTATTTAGTTACGTAGTACACCTACTATCCGACTTACGACCTGCTCGACTTACGACCACTCGACTTACGACCGTGTTTTTTTGCCAAATTTCTGGGAAATAAACAACTATTTGTGTTGTACACAGTGTTTATCCTAAACCTTACAGTATAAAATATGGTACTAACAGCATAAAAAGTAAAGTAAAACATGAAATACCAAAATAAAACAATAAAGTCATTACAAAAATGTGATGTTGATATTCAGTAGTAAAGTTCGACTTACGTCCATTTCGACTTACGACCGGTTTCTCAGAACCGAACTCGGTCGTAAGTCGGATGGTAGGTGTATTTAGTCACTTAGTATTTAGTCAACTTACTCCACAATTTGTAATAATTTAGGGTTAAGAATTAATCTAAGTTTGCCCAAAATGCCTAGCCATGCTAGGTGTTCTAGTGGCCCCCTCAGTAATTAGTATTTTATTACATGTAAACCACACAATAACCAAAATCTGTAAACCCCGCATTGTAATCCTTATCGAGAATAAACTTTGATTTCATTTGATTTGATTTGATTTGAAGAAACTGCCCATTTACCAATTTCAACTACCCAATAAAATGATCAGAAATTGGTAATTTGGCCAGTTTCATACACAATTCAAGTAAGTCCAATTTCAAAATAGGGTCCATAATTAATAATACAAACGTTCCTAGCACTAAAATAACATTTTCTCTGTTGATTAGTGTCATCTCCAAGCCCCTCTTATATTACTCTTGCTTTCCATTTTGAATTTTTTTTCACACACAAAATGGAAGATTTACTGTTATGCAGACTATTGCATTATTGTAAAAATGGCATAAATAATAGCAGCACACTTGTGAAAGCATATTAGACCCATTAGTTGATGTGTATTGGACGCGTGTCATGATTTGTTTAATCTTGAGCAATGGCAAAAATTTAACATTTCTGCTACTTTGAGCTCAATTTCAAGGTACTTTTAGTCCATAAACCATTTAAAATCATCTCTATTTCTATAATATATATCCCATTCTATCAAATGAGATCAAGAAAACGAGAATACAACCATAAATACTGTACAAAAATACACTGCAAATTCAGTGATTTAAACCAAAAACACAGCCAGAGTTTTTTTTTTTTTGTCATGCATGCATGCTGCAGGATTTTTTTTTATACTGCACACACTGACCACTCTGACTCATTCTTTCATATGTTGGCCTACCAGCTTTCTTCTGCAAGATTGGAAGCTGCTAGAATTTTGGCGTTATATTATGGCCATATTATGGCAACCACAGTGAAAGGGTTAAATAGAGGATTCAAAATACAGTTGACCCTTGAACAACACAGGTTTGAACTGTGCAGGACCACTTATATGCGGATTTTTTCAGTAAATATATTTGAAAATTTTTTGGAGATTTGCGACCGAAAAAATTTAGAAAAAGTTACTCATGTCATGAATGCATAAAAAATATATAGATACTAGTCTATTTTATCACTTACTACCATAAAATATACACAAATCTATTATAAAAAGTTAAAATTTTTCAAAACTTATGCACACAAACAATTACAGTGTTCTGTATCATATAGGACAATATTGATGTAGGTACTGACAGACAGACAATTCATCTTGTGAACAGATGATTTAAACTTATGGTACTGATAAATACAGTACAGTAATATAAGTGTATTTTCTCTTCCTCATGATTTTCTTAATAAGATTTTCTTGTCAGTAGCTTACTTTATTGTAAGAATACTGTATATAATACATATAACACAGAATATTTGTTAATTAACTCTTTATGTTATCAGTAAGGCTTCCTGTCAACAGTAGGCTATTAGTAAAGTTTTTGGGAAATCAAAAGTTATACGAGATTTTTTGACTGCATGGGAGGCCCGCGTCCCCCCACCCCCATGTTGTTCAAGGGTCAACTGTACTGTACTTGCTAATGAAAATGTATTTTTCTTAAACAGTCAAAAAACACCTAATATAAGAGCTGTGAACATTTTAAGCATAAATTATTCATCACTTGTGCATCAATTTCAGTCAGATCTACAGCACATCAGTACTGCCAATTCCTCAGATGTGGACATTCAGACACTGGAGCAATTTTTTTGCAAGTTTAGCAGACTGAAGGTAGTGGAGCTGGATAAAATGGAATTATTAACAGATGTTGGCCTACATCACCTGGCCACCAATTGTACCCACATAGAGACTCTTAGTGTGGCTGGCTGCTGGAAGCTTACAGACAGTGGACTCAAGAAGGTAATACATTGTTTTGTTAAGAGTATGCACTTCTGCTGCTTTCTAGCTGGTGAATTTTAAAACTACTTACACTGTTTATTCTAAATTACCATACACCTACCATCCGACTTACGACCTGCTCGACATACGTTCACTCAACTTTCAATAGACTCAAATTTCAAACACATATACAGCAAATTTCCAAGAAAATTTCCAAGACTGTAGGCATACTATCGAAGATACGGTACTATGTTTCACAGTCAGCCCTCCTGGCCCTATATCACTCACTTATTTACCTCTATCTCACCTATGGAATTTGTGCATGGGGCTCAACAACAGTAAACCATCTGAGACCACTAATTACCCAACAAAAGGCTGCAGCCAGAATGATAACAAATTCCCACTACAGGCAGCACACTCCACCAATATTCGAAACCCTAAACCTACTCACCATACAAAACATCCATACTTATTACTGCATCTATTACATACATAGAACACTTAACTTGGATATAAACCCTCCCCTCAAACATCTCCTTACCAACCTCAACAGAACACATGACCATAACACAAGGCACAGATCACTCTTTGATGTTCCTCGTGTCCATCTCATGCTATGCAAAAAACTCAATGCACATAAAAGGCCCTAAAATCTGTAAATATAAAAGAAACACTGTTTATAAATTCAAGTCTCTACTCAAAAATCACTTACTCACCCACAACCAAATAAATACTGAATAATTGTATCTTAAAAATTGTATCTCATAAATGTTTCTCATAATTGTATCTCATAAATGTTTAACCTGATACCCAATCAAACTTTGTTATTTTTTAATTAAATTACCCAACAGAATACTCCATTCTACTGAATGCACAGCAGTACAGTAAATGACCATATAACCTGTCTTTGTAATACTCATTTGTGCTTAATTATTATCTGTTTACAATAATGTTTTACCACTGAATATATCACTGCTTGGTTAATCTTAAGTTAATTTTAAGCCTGCCCATAATGCTCTGCATACAAGGGGCTTTGGCATGTTGCACTTAACTGTATTCATTTGTACTACTCTGTATCATGTTCAAATTAATAAATAAATAAATAAAGGTAAGTAATGAGTGTACTGTATATGCATTTTATCGCTATAGGGCACTTTAACCCTTTGAGGGTCGACAGGCCCTCACCGAGACTCGTTCGCAGGGTTGGCCAAATTTAAAAAAAAAAAAAAAATTCTTATGAAAAGATAGAGAATCTTTTCCCGATCATAATGACACCAAAAGTATGAAATTTGATGGAAAACTTATGGAATTATGCTCTCGTGAAGTTACCGGTCTTGGCGATGTTTATGCATCGGCGATTTTGCCCACTTTGAGCCCCATTTTTGGCCAATTCCACTGTACTAGTCAACAAAAAAACATGAATATTTTGCTAGAACTCCATTTTTTCTATCGAATGAGTGCAAGAAACCACCCATTTACCGATTTCAACTATCCAGTACAGTGGTCAGAATTTAGCAATTTTGCCAATTTCTCACAAATTTCAAAAGATGCCAATTTCCGAATAGGGTCCAGAGTAAATAAGAAAGACATTACTGGCACTAAAATAACATTTCCTCTGTTCATTAGTCACGTCTCAAGGCCCCTCTTACATTCTTTTGCTTTCCACTTTGAATTTTTATTCTCACAAAAAATAGAAGATTTACTGTTATGCAGACTACTTCGTTAGTGTAAAAAATGGTATAAATAATATTGGTGCACTTGTGAAAGAATATTAGACTCACCATTTGACGTGTATTGGATGCTTGGCATGATATGTTTACTTTTGAACTTGGTAAAAATCAAACATTTCTGCTACTTTGAGCTCAATTTCAAGGTACTTTTCATTGTAAAACCAGTCAAAATCATCTCAATTTCTGTGTTATGTCTTCCATTCTATAAAATGAGACCAAGAAAACTAGAATACAACAATAAATACCATACGAAAATACAGTGCAAAGTCGCTGTTTTATTTCAAAAAAACGGTCAAAGTTTTTTTTTTCTCATTATGCACTGTGTGCTGCAGGATTTTTTTAGTACGTCAAAAACCCTGGGTCGTAAGCCGTATTAGTACAGCCGAAACCTTCAAAGGATTAAATGTCATATATTACGTGTGGGTGTGGTAGCCAGGTGGGCTACCATACCTACCACACCTGAATTTCAACAATACAGTGGACCCCCAGATAACGTAATTAATCCATTCCAGAGAGAGTGTCTTATACCGAATCTGACTTAACCTGAATTAATTTTCCCCATAAGAAATAATGGAAATCCAATTAATCCATTCCAGACACCCAAAAGTATTAAACAAAATAATTTTTTTACATGAAATATACATTTCCCTACACAGAAAACAATAAGACATGCAGAGTAAAACATTACTAAAATTACACTTACCTTTATTGAAGACTCATTGATGAGTGATGAGACGGGAGGAGGGAAGAGGATGGAGGTGTACAGTGAACCCTCGGGTAACAATGTCATCATACAACGAAAAAATCGTATAGCAACACGTTTTTGCGTCAAAATATTGACTCGGTTACCGAAAAAACTCGGTCAAGGACATTCATCCCGAACGTGTCCGTGTGCCCTGAGCAGGCCCGACCACTCCATGTATAGCTAGGGTGCTATTGTTTACAAGCCAGGGAGGACGATTCCATGCGTACATGCAATATATTCTGTATTCATTGTTTTTAGTACTTGTAACTGCTAAATAAGCCACAACTCTTAGGAATTCTCGCAAAACACCTCTCTAAACTCTTGGGCACTATCAGTCCAGCACATCTCAAACACTCGAGTGATTTTCTCAATCGCATTCACAACATCAACATCAGGAACAAAAACTTTCCAGCCTTGACGTAACTTCCCTATTCACCAAAGTACCTACTACATAAACCATCGATCTCCTGCGCAGGAAAATTGACGATTCACTTGATCTTCCTATTCCAGCCAGCAATTTCATCGACCTTGTTGAACTATGTGTCGGCTTTACGTGTTTCTCTTTCGAAAACCACCTCTTTCAGCAGACTTTTGGACTACCCGTGGGCTCGCCACTCAGTGCCGTCCTGGCAAACTTATACATGGAACATCTGGAAGCCGAGCATTTCTCCATCATTATTCCTTCGACTGTCACCTGGCTACATTATGTTGATGACATTCTCCTCATAACTCCCAGACGCTTCAACGTTCAAGCTCTCCAAGACAAGCTCAACCAGGTCGAGCCCTCAATCCAGTTCACACTTGAAGAAGAAGTCGACAACACTCTTCCTTTCCTTGATGTTCTTCTCTGCAAAGCTGACCATGAACTTCGTTTTAAAGTCTATCGAAAACCCACCAACCAAAACGATCTTCTCCATTTCTACTCTCACCACGACACCAAAATTAAACGTTGTGTAATTATAGGCTTCTTCCTGCGTGCACTCAGAATCTGCAGCAATGAGCTTCTTGAGGAAGAATGCACTATAATTGAACAAGTATTTTCTAAACTCCACTATCCTCGTCACTTCATCAGAGACTGCAGACGACGGGCATTAAACATCTTCAACACACCCAGAGAAGACACTGCCGAGAAGAGATACATAGTCCTCCCCACCAACTCCATTGCCAAACATGTTTCCAACATCTTTCTTTTCCAATACCTCATTCCAAGTATCTACCTCCACAACCATGACCATCAAGGACATCACCAGTAATAGACAGGACAAGCTTCCATCCTCTGCAGGGGTATACATAATCCCTTGTAATGACTGCAGCAAATTATACGTGGGCGAAACATCAAGAGACCTCCAAACACGTATTTCAGAACACCAATACGCAAGCAGGACTGATGATACAAGGAATGCACGTGTACAACACCGCAATTCACACAACCATTTAATTAACTACAGAAACTCGAGACTTATCGCCAGAGAAGACAACACTCAATACCGAAGAATCCTGGAATCATCGCTTATCTCTATAACCAACAATTTCAACCAGAACAATGGCTTCTATAACATAGCTGAACCACTTGCCAAGAAGCTTCATCATCGCTATCCCACATAAGAACATAGAACACTGCAGAAGATCTGCTCACAACGTATCCAATCTCCATTCCAAGCTACCCAAGATTTTAGACTCTATAACCCCACTCGGCAGATCATCAGATGCAGCATTCTCCACCTGACCTCAACATTCTGAACCTGACTATAAATACTCACGTACCTTCCACACCAGGTAGATCTGTTTGTGACTTGAAAAAGCCCACTGTATGGGCGAAACGTTGTCAATAAATTATCACATTAAACTGCATATGTGTTTATATTTCCATTTCTTATTTATAAATTAAAATGTAAATATTTCTTATTTATGAATTACATACTACATTGTTTAAGTGTGAACAGTGTTGGTGGCTTCTGCTGCTGCCTCCACCACCACTATTATATACGGCTTCTCTCAGTGGCCCTTAGAAACCCAACAACACCACCACCACCACCACCACCACTTACTCCTCACATACATTATGACATATTTTATTCATTCTAGAGTGTATATCATGTTTCCTTGTTATTAATATTGTTTATTATGTCATATTAGATGAATTTTGATAGATAAATAAGCCATAGAGATGATATTAGCATCATATCGAAGCATAATAAACTCGTCTTCCTCTCACCTCCTACCTGTCTTCCATACACCAACAAGAATCAATAAAGGTAAGTGTGATGTTAAATGTTCATTTATCCATTTTATTAGTGCTTTATATTTATTTGTCATTGTTTTCTGTATTTTTTGTTTTTTTAACAAGTCGGCCATCTCCCACCAAGGCAGGGTGACCCAAAAAGAAAGAAAATCCCCAAAAAGAAAATACTTTCATCATCATTCTGTATGTATATTTATATTTAATCTTGAAAAAAAAAAATTTTTGTTAATACTTTTGGGTGTCTGAAACGGATTAATTGGATTTCCATTATTTCTTGTGGGGAAAGTTAATTTGGATAACGAAAAAATCAGTTAAAGACAAGCTCTCTGGAACAGATTAACGTCATTACCCGAGGGTCCAATGTACTATTGTTTGGAAGGGGAATCCCCTTCCATAAAGACTTCAGGTACCAAGTCCTTTTCTGGGGTTACTTCCCTTCTTTGTTTTTTAATGCCACTGTAGCACTAAATATCTGTTTAGAGAGCTCTGTTTCTGGCATCTCTTTAAGATTTCCCTAAAATGGGACACAACATTGTCATTGTAGATGTTGTCAGCATGGCCTGCAACAGCTGTGTCAGGGCGATGTTCATCCATAAATGTTTGCACATAAGACAGCAGGAACACTGCAGCAGGCCTGTTGGCCCATACTAGGCAGGTCCTTCACAAACCATCCCACTAACAGAATCGTATTTGCGATGTCACACTGTTCTCATCAGTTCACCCTAATGAAATGGCAGACATTGGCAGGCAGCATAGAGAAAGCAATGAACCCTTTCTAAAACCTGCAGCTGTGAATGACGACACCCTCAGTATGCGTTCAGTGGACAAATGTGACATGCAGATTGGGTTTGCTGATTGTGTTCACAAGAGTTATAAGTGGTACATAAAACTCTTTTTCCATATTTCCATGATCAGTGCTTATAATATATATAAGATGAAGACCAGAAACAAACCTCCATATGGCGACTTTTGTTTGTCTGTCATCAGACAATTAACAATCAAGTACCAAGGAACAACACCTGCAATAGAAAACCGCCCATGAAATTATCAACAACTACCTTCTCGTCTGAAGCATGGTGATCACGTCCTAACAAAACTGCCTGCTACTGCTTTCAAGAAAAAGGCTCAGAAGAGGTGTTACGTCTGTAAACATACAAAAAAACACCCACAAGAACGCAGAGACACTCGTTTTATGTGTGAGGAGTGTAAAACACCATTGTGCATGACACCATGTTTCAAAGATTTCCACAGGCTGCAGAACTTCTAAAAACATGTCCTGTGACTGTATATGTGTATATAAAATATAGAAAAATAGTAATAAACAACATTTTGTGTTGTTCATTTGTGTAAATAAGTTTTGTAAACAAAATAGTGAAAACAGTGTTAGTGCAGTTATTGTGTAATATAGAAAAAGAAATAACTTACAAAATAGTGCTCATATTGGTCTCACAGGCCATAAAAGTTACTTGAAATTTTTTTTTTAAATAATAGAAAATAGTACCAAAAAAAAAATAAACAAATACCAGGTGACCGGCAGTCGGCGATGTTACCGTATGCCGGTCATTTTCTGTCAGTTTCACACCTCCATATCTCGGTAAGTATTGGTGGTAAAATTTTTTTGTTTACCCTATAATATTTAGAAAAAAAAAAAACTATCTTTTCGTAAGATAAAATAATTTTTTTTTTTTTTTTCAAATTTTAACCGACCCTGAGAACAGGTTTGTGAGAGGGGCTACCGACCGTGAAAGGGTTAATTGCTATATCTTGTATCTGCCAAGCAATCATGACACCCAGTAGGCATACCAGTGTTGCTCAAAGTAGCAAGAAAAGGTGTAAGCATTTAAGTCTTAGAATTAACAAAGGAAACAAAGATATTAGACAAGACATCCTGTGGCCATAATGAAGTGTTACTTTGTACACTTAAAAAAGAGGTAAACATAAGTTTGTGTGACTGGCTGACTTACTGAATGACTGACTGACTTACTGAATGACTGACTTACTGAATGACTGACTTACTGAATGACTGACTTACTGAGTGACTGACTTACTGAATGACTGACTTACTGAATGACTGACTTACTGAATGACTGACTTACTGAGTGACTGACTTACTGAGTGACTTGACTGACTTACTGAATGATTTGACTAACTTACTGAATGACCTGACTGACTTACTGAATGACTAGACTGACTTACTGAATGACTTGACTGATTTACTGAATGACTTGACTGACTTACTGAACAACTTGACTGACTTACTGAATGGCTTGACTGACTTAATGAATTGACTGACTTACTGAATGACTTGATTGACTTACTGAATGACTTGACTGACTTACTAAATGACTTGACTGACTTACTGAAAGACTTGACTGACTTACTGAATGACTTTACTGACTTACTGAACAACTTGACTGACTTACTGAATGGCTTGACTGACTTAATGAATTGACTGACTTACTGAACAACTTGACTGACTTACTGAATGGCTTGACTGACTTACTGAATGACTTGACTGACTTACTGAACAACTTGACTGACTTACTGAACAACTTGACTGGCTTACTGAATGACTTGACTGACTT